TTGGCAAGAAGGTTGGCATTTTAAACCTTAATTAAAAATCGATACAGGGCTTTAGAATATCGATACAGTATCAAGAAATGAAATATCGCGATATTTCAGTGTATCAATATTTTCTTACACCCCTACTGCAAACTGTAAATGTTTTGTACATGTATGTACATTTGTGTTGTCTTAAAACAAAGACATTTTCACAACTATATGTGCACAACTCTGCTTGAGTTCTCATTTTTCTCAGCCAAGAGTTGTTTAGTTTTACAGTAACTATCAGTCACTGGATACTGGTGCACATTGTGTATATGTGTGTGCTTAGTTTTAATCTCAACCATTCTGAGTGGACTTTCATCACGTGTTAACATTCCTACACTAATCATTTCAATGTAAACACTTCAGCAAGCTCTTCTAGACTATTTGCTTTGAAGGCTAAAGTCTGTTTAAACTCTGCTTTATTTTGCTTTAATATTAGAAAAATACAATCAGATCCATGAAAAGAAGCAACATCCACAACCAGAATGTTTTTGCTCAAACTTTTTTCGTTGTAATTATGAGAGAATTTCACAGCCACGTTGCGGGGTGAGTGGGGTGTGGGCGGTAGTGGTGGTGGGACTCTGATTCACGCTTTTCCGCTGCATTGCCAAACTTCATGACATAACGAACACAACACAGGCTTTATGTAACAGCTCTGCATCTCAACACGGCCTCCACGATCAAATCCGACAGTGATAAATACACTGCCGGGACCTCCTCTCTTGGCTCTGCCTCATTAGGGCGCCGTGGCGTGCCTCGCTGAGTTTTTAACAGCGAGAATGTGTGCAGAAACAAATTCATATTTCTGTGAAGAGCCCTTTCACTCCAGACTTCCCCAAGGAAGAGAAACCCCTGGAGGTCAGTGCAAAACATGTTTTGCTTTGACAGCTGCTGTTTGGTTATTTTGTTTCTTGCAGTAGTTTTCTTTTTGGAGTAGGATGATGTCATGAATACCAGGCTGAGTTTGACCTTGTAACAAAAATGATTTATTAGTACAGTATGTGTTGTAGCCAAGTGAGACATCGGAAACCTCATTTTGACCCTTTTTTGAGGCCAGCAGAGCCAGACCTATAATAACCTATGACCTATAATTGTACTGCATGAGGTCTCTGTAATGTTTACGGCTACATACACTCAATAGTTGTAAAGTTTTGCCCCTACTTGATTCTTAATAGCTCTCACTTTTTCCAGCCGATCATTTAGGCTATAAAAATCTGGGGTTGTCTGGAGGTGTTTGGTCTTTAATATTTTTAGATTATTTGGACTTTAAAGTTTTTTTATTTTGCTGTCTAACAGTATTGTAGGATTTTATAGTCCTTATCTTCTGAAGCAGGTTGTTTTCAACTCCTGCTTCAAAGTAGGCATTGCCTTAGACTCTTGGTTTGTTCATAAATGTGTTGATTTGCTGAGCAAGTTACCCTTCCAGCACCTGCCCTTCTAAAACTGCATTTGCATTTGTTAAAAAATAAGCAATGTTCTTTTACCCTTTACCTGTTCAGATCTAACACCAGTTAATAAAAATGGCGTGAATGTTTGAGTGAGCCATACAAAACCATCCAGACACAGCTGTGGACTGATTAGATTTTTTTAATCTGCCTCCAACAGGCATCAGCTAACCAGTGACCAGAACCTGGAAAAACACATCAAGTACCAAACTCTTTGCATCCTGACCCCGCCTCATGACATATCTTAAAGGGGCAGGCTGTTTTCATACGGAGTCAAGATGTCAGACAATGGGCCTCATGCAAGAACATGTTCATATTCTTATCCTAAATTTCTCTTACTTTTGTTCGTACAAAGGG